TGCGGACCGCACCGGGTGACACCATTTAGGGGGTGACACCAAGGCAAAAAAATAGCAAAATATATAGAGAAAAACTTGATGGGGGGTGCAAATCGAAAGTTGAGGGGGTGCAAATCGAAAGTTTGAGGGGGGGGGGGGAGTGCAAATCGAAAATGTGACACCATTAAGTGCCGCACCGGGTGACACCCGACCTCGTTACGCCACTGAATTCACTTCAACACAGTAAAGTATTACTCTTCAACTTCCCTGGTTTCGAACTTATGCCATACAATCCGAAACCGACGTAAAACAGCTGTAATTTGTTCACACGAGTGAATGAAAATATAGGACCCTTGCATGCAGGGCAAATAGAATAAGACTCATTTGTTTCCATGACATCTGTATATCTAGGTGGTCGAATCGGTAGAGCTCATGGCAGTCTCATGGTTGCTAAACCGAAAAGCTCGTTAGCTGGGGACAGCAACTCTTCTATGAATCCCTTCCAACACTAGAATTAAGTACGAAGAAGAAGAAGGAAAATGTTGGTATAGCCCATATGGTGCCCATACCTAACCTCAGGGGCGTAGCGAGGGGGGGGGGGCGGACCGCACCGGGTGACACAATTTAGGGGGGTGGACACCAAGGCAAAAAATAGCAAAATATATAGAGAAAAACTTGAGGGGGGTGCAAATGGAAAGTTTGAGGGGGGGGTGCAATACAAAAACCTGAGGGGGGGGGGGGGTGTGCAAATCGAAAGTTTGAGGGGGGTGCAAATCGAAAATTTGAAAGTTTGTCCCCGGGAAGGGTTGCTACGCCTCTGGGGGGGTGACACCATTAAGTGCCGCACCGGGTGACACCCGACCTCGCTACGCCACTGCCTAACCTCTTTGCTTCCACTACTAGAGCTAGGCGCCCATCAGAGCTGTCTATAGCTCATTGACGCCCCTTTAAAGTACTTAAAAACACCGTCACACTCCAAGGGAAGTAAGGACTTAAGTGACGACGTGTTTACAATGGGAGAAGATCGGGGGAGAGATTCAAACTTTGCTTTTTTAAAAGGTAATGTTAGTAACTGAATTCCATGTTTATGCATATTTTGTGTGAAATTGCAGTATAAATTGATCCACATGCTGATTGTTTAAATATTCCCACCAAAAAATAGTATTTTGAAAACAAAACAAAAAATTAATTTTTGTTATGGTAGTAGATTTAGGTGTGGCGTCATTTTACGCTGAGGACGCAGTCTGGCTTTTTGTGACGATGTGGTAAAAAGGGGGAGGGGTAAAGTTGGTACAAGCAAAAGTGTGACGTCGTTTGTGGATGACCCTTAACTCCAAACAGTATTACGAAAAAAGAAACAATCCAACTCGAAAATATATAATCTAAGTTAAAACATTCTAAACAAGACCTAGATGTGTATATCATAAACATACAAATAATCTAAACACATCTTCAATTATTTTTTCCATCGGTGCCAAAATCACCAGGGGACCATCACGGAAACGTGTTTCCTTTTTTTGTAGGTCAGTTGGAACTTTCGTGGCATTTTCCTCAAGACATTCAGGTCATGCCCAAGACACATAGCTCAGAAGAAGTAGATCACTTCGTTTCAGTAACATACAGGGGGGACAGTGTGGTCAGCGCAATGTCCAGCTACCTTTGATTCCCTAACGTGAGTTGGAAGCCCTATGAACTGGCTCTATTCAGGGACACCCGAAAGTAGGGATCCAAACATGGGACTTATGTGTTTGCAGTCGTAAGCTCTACCATCCGACCACGCCGTCCTCTGTTATTAGCTGAACTACTCCTAAAATACGAAATTCAAATGCGTAAAAAAAAAACATGAAACACCTTTAAAATAACATAATCTAAAATACGTAATCTAAAATACAAATAGCCATACAAATATGACAAAGTCAAAAAAAGCAACAATGATTTCTCTAAAAAAAATTAAAATAATACTCGTGAAGGAAACTCTTAAGTATTAACAGCAAACAGAATGTACTGCCAATCGATCAAAAACATAGATGAACTTACAATAACATACCGCAAAATAAGGAAGTGTTTCGATTTTAACTTTACTTTGTGGGTTACTAGACTTGTCCTCAAAACTGACAAAATGGCCCTCCCACAAATTTCGCTCAACATACACAGCAACATATACAGCAACATACACATCAAAATACACAACAACTTACATATCAACACGTTTTTTTTCGCTTTTGATGCACCCTAATTTATACTTTCGAAAAATTTAACAGTGTCCCTCACAGTTACAGTGCCGATGAGTAATGATAAAATCGCTTCGAACCAGCGTTATTTTCAGGTGTTCCAATTGTGGACAGTACCTATATCCAGAGGCGTAGCGAGGGGGGGGGGGGGGGGGGTATTGGGGGTGCGGACCGCACCGGGGTGACACCAAGGCAAAAAATAGCATAATATAATATATAGCGAAAAACTTGAGGGGGGTGCAAATCAAAAGTTTCAGGGGGGGGGGTGCAAATCGAAAGTTTTGAGGGCGGGGGGGTGAAAATCGAAAGTTTGAGGGGGGGGGGGTGCAAATTGAAAGTTTGAAAGTTTGTCCCGGGAAGGGTTCGCTACGCCTCTGGGGGGGGGGGTGACACCATTAAGTGCCGCACCGGGTGTCACCCGACCTCGCTACGTCACTGTCTATACCTTATTAATGTATCCAGTGTTGCTTTTTGATGTTCTATTTTACCCCCTTTGGCGTCTAATGAGTTTATATTTACATTCTTTATAATTTAAATTCACATTACTTTTTTATTATGTTTCATACAAATGTCGAACGGTAGAGCGTTCAACTGCTAACCCGGTATCCTCGAGTTCGGATCACACGCTCGAAACCGTAGGAAGGTCCCTGAGTCCATCCAGCTCTGACGGGTACCTGACTCACGTTAGGCAAAGTAAAGGCTGCTGGGCATAGTGGTGACCACACTATCCCTACACTGACCTGCCCCGTGGACCTTAAGATTGGAGAGGGTCCTTTATTTTATATTGTTTTAAGAATGTTAAAAGCGCAATAAATACCTGTCTAGAATCGATTGCATTAGTAGGCCTCGTCCAAATGCATTGGGAAGTGGAACTCGGTGTTAATCAGTGTTCGGCTCCCACCCCCAAAAATTTCAAGGCCCCCCCCCCCACAGTATGAAAATAATGTCTGAAAAAAACACTGTTACTACTGTAAGCCAACATACAAGTGGTTGTAGTAATACAACCAAATTTAAAGGACTCGTTCAATACTTGACACAGTAGTCATTGAGGCACTGATTTTTACTCAGCTATAATTACTGCAAACAGTTTTTTCCAGGCATCTCTTCGAGGGGACGGAGCCCCCCCCCCCCCCCCCCCCCCCCCCCCCCCCCCCCCCCCCCCGAAAATTCGGAGAAAAAAGTCTGGAAGAAACACTGACTGCAAATGACTCGCAAATTCAAATTAGAACTATGTGGACGAAAAAAAGGCCATTGACTTTCAGACAGTGTTTCTTCCAGACATTTTTCGCCGGGGGGGGGGGGGGGGGGGGCACTTGAAATTTTCGGGGGGGGCGGTAAAACTTTCCTCGGGGGGGGGGGGGGGGCGGACACTGTTAAAAGTATATATTTTCTATATAAATTATATAAATTTCATTTCGTTCGGGCGGCGGTAAAAAAATTTTCGGGGGGCTTTATATTATAGTAATAAATTTCGGCATGTTCTTTAAACACAAGTTTAAAAAAATATCATCTTTTACAAAAATTCTAATTATGTCTTTATTTAGTCCTATAGCACTTACTTCCCTTTGATAAATTAGGAAAACACAATTACTTCCCTTTATAAAACCATTGCATTTGTGGAAAAGAATTTACTTTTTAATTACTTTGTTTTGGTGTTGGGAAAAAATAATTACATAATTAGCGGGGATTGATCAAGTGCAAATGTTGTAGGTATTTTACGGATAAGCTTGGAGTATTAAAATTGTTCATTAAATTGAAACAGGCGCGTTCGTTTAAGTGAGTGCAAAAGACTATGAATAAGTTGGGGTACTATAGTCGTTCATGAAGCTAAAACAGGTGATTCCGCCCCGGGCGTTTATGTTCGCGTTAGTGTTTTCTTTGTGTTTAGGTGGGTTTGCGTTAGTGGTTGCGTTTTGATTTGGTTCTTTTTGTTCTTTCTTTTTTTGTTTTTGTTTTTGTTTTTTTTTTGTTTGGGTTTGTATTTGTGTTTTTGGTTGGTTTTGCGTTTGGATTTGGTTTGTTTTCGTTTGCTTTTTCGTTGTTTTGTTTTTTTTTTTTATTGGTATTGGTGTTTGTGGTTGGGTTTGCTGTTAGGTTTTTGTTTTCGTTTGCTTTTTTGTTTGTTTTTTTTCTTTGTGTTTGTTTTGGTGTTTGTGGTTGTGGTTGGGTTTGTTGTTAGGTTTTTGTTTTCGTTTGCTTTTTTGTTTGTTTTTTCTTTGTGTTTGTATTGGTGTTTGTGGTTGTGGTTGAGTTTGTTGTTAGGTTTTTGTTTTCTTTTGTATTTGTAATTGTGTTAGCGTTATGTTTGCGTTTTGTTGTTTTGGTTGGTTGTGGTTTGGGTGGGCAATGCCGGGTTTATGATGATTACTAAACACACAGGTAATGGTCTTTAACAGAAAGGTTTTTCACAGAAGCCAGAGCAGGGCCTGGCCGGGACGGCTAGTACAATATAAAATCTTAGTAAACCAAAATTATATAGGACCTTTACTTACAGTGTTTTTGTATAGAACTGGAAACGATTAAAAAACATTGGAAGGGAGGCTACTTGTAAAAATAAAATCTTCAACTTTATAACGGGTTGTCGGAATTTACTAAAAAATGAAAGTAAACAAAGCAGTTACGCAGTTAAGATGTAAATTAACTTAACAAACGATACATACAAAAATCATATCTTTGGCTGTTTTGAAAAGTATAAAACAAAGTAAAAATAAATTTTAAATAAACAATATTATTATCAATTTTAAGTATATTTTATTTATTCACTTCGGGCTACATTCTATCTCCTTTAATGGCGGCAACCTTATTTTCCAAACAATAGCGTCGCTTACCGGTAAACGTTAATTTTAATTAAGCGTTTCATTATCTCAGCATCAATCTCACTAAAAGGTAATTTTTTTGATATTGTTGATTTCACAATATTCTGTTACGTATTCTGGGGTTGTATTAACGTTTCTATAACATTATGTTTACTTCTCTATTTTTACTCTTCAATCTAAATTTTTATTTTTTATGTTTCGAAGTCGGCTACGCTGTTGGGACTGAGGTTTGAGTATTTTGGCGTATGTGCATGGAATGCTATTCGGACCCGGGTCCGTATAACCAGGAAACTCTATTCGGCATTAGGTAATCTATCGTTTTAGCGTAATCAATTCGGCGGCAGTAGTAATGTGCGGGAGAGGTAACTGATGAATATATTTGTTTAAATAAGTATATTTGAGTCAAATTTTACAAAATATAACAGATAATTGATTTAAAATAACAATCAGTGACCAAAACAATTTAAAATAACATGAAACTAACTTTAAACTAGGTGTTTGAGATAAATATTAGTAGATAAAAACAGCGGCCATCTTTCCAAATAAAATTTAGAGTAGTTTCCCTTGATACAAATATCTATTCGTTGTGTTGACTTTGTTGTTTAATATACATAGTTGTCTTGTTTAATATAAGTAGGACAGAGGGCCATCTTCTAATCTTTAATTTCAATTGAAATGAAGGCTATGTATGTATGTACATCCAAGATCTCAAAAACGTTTGGGAGGTCCATCATCCATCATTTATTAAACCCTTTTGTACTGATGAACTTGTCAATTATTAGGTCGTCCATATTCTTCATAAATGACGTTGGACTCAAAATATGGGACGGGGTAAAAAAATTTTTTAAAATGAAGAATATATTCGTTTTCGTTAGAAATTGTGATTACGCGTTCAGGTATAGTAGAACTGCGATATGATATTAAATCAGGGGTCTCCAAACTTTTTAGTCCGAGGGCCGCATTAACTATCAAATTTCACTTCGAGGGCCGTTTCTTCCAGGTATGTCTTTGATTTTTCTGGACAAAGTTCCTCAGCCATCACCAACAAAACTTTTTTCCGTGGACAAAAAGATCTCCTCGGGCCGGATGAGAGGACATCGCGGGCCGCATCCGGCCCGCGGGCCGTAGTTTGGAGACCCCTGTATTAAATCATCATCTTGCTTTTAGTGACGATTGGGGGAAAGGGAATTCATCGGGAAAAGTATGACGTCATTTATGGACAGGACCGGCGCTACCTATAAGGCGAACTAGGCTCTCGACTAGGGCGCTGTCCGTAGGGGTGGGCGCCAAAATGGGTTGGAGAAACAAATTGAAAGTTTGAGGGGGAGGGGTGCAAATCGTAAGCTTGTCCCCGGGCACCGGGAAGGGTCGCTACGCCTCTGATAATACAGGGGCATACACAAAAGAGGGGGGGGGGGCGCTTTTATTAAGTTTTGCCTAGGGCGCTAAATAACCTGGCGCCGGCACTGTTTATGGGTGATCCATTTAAGCCTAGTTGTTTATTTTGTCTGTAGACATTAGTCTTAGGCCTACACTTTTTCTAAATTAAGATTATTGTGTTTATAAAAATAGTTTTAAATTTTAATTAGTTACATCTGAATACCACATGTTTTTTTTTCTATGCCTTCTGCTTTCATCAGTTTTTTATTTGTTCAATAGTCGATGTTTACCCATCCCCACCATCCATTATTACAAAAACAAAAAACACCCACTATATAGTGATATCTCCCTCTAGAAAAAAAAAAAACTAGATCAACCTATAGTTCGTAGGAAAATTAGAATCTATCACTTATTCGTCTGTTAAAAAAAAAGAAATACGTCATTTTTCTCAACCCCGCCGTTTCATCCCCCACTTAGCACAACGTCACCAAGTTCGCGGCGCGCGTGACGTCATTTGTCATAAGGCTAATGTTAAAGAAAGAGATACCGCGTAATTAAAAAAAGTCAAAACATGCACTATGGCGTTGAGACTTTAGCGACGTTTAGTCTGACGAATAGATCTAAATGACTTTAGTACGGTAAATTATATTGGTGTTTAATTTATTACAGTGGCATGCGGTGCTCCCTCAACTATACAAATTCACGTGCTTTCAATTTCTGCAACCTGCTGATCTGAGACGTTCGGCTCTAAAAAGCCCGTGACACAGCGGCCTCCGTAAATACATTTAGGCTCCCGGTCCCACCTATAAACTTCGTCTGCCCATTAAGCTCCACGCAATACTTGTGATTGATATGTGGACATAAGCGGCGATAGTGGTTGTGTCAAAAGGGACCCCCTCCCCAAGCTCAGCTCTTAAAGGTGCTCCGCACTTCATAAAAGACAAACTTGATGTTCAGACATCGTCGGACTCGGGCGTTTAGCCGACGGCCGTATTCCTAATGCAACGTCCACTGCTAACACTATTTCTATATTAAACTCAAGCCTATACTGAGCTCTGGCTTTTTACATTAGCTGCTGTCCTATTAAGGGTTGATCTATTGTTATGCCCCATGTCGCGAAACTTGCTGTTTTGTCCAATTTTACCTGAAGCCAATAATTGTCGTGGATTCTTGTCAAATATTGTTGCCAGGAGCTAGTTGGTTTGAACCTTATTGTTAGAAGTTATTTCATTCGGAGTCAATGTAGTGCGGCCTATTTTCGTCGGTAGGCATTTAGTGGCAGGCCCTTTTTGGCGGGGATGGTGTGCTGAGGTTGTTAAACACCGCTTAGGACAACAGGCATGCAATAGTTATGATCATTTGTTATGAGCAAAGGTATGCATGAAAACGAACGCTTTATGTTCCTCATTTTCATTGAGCACAGCTTTATAGAAGTCTTCCATAATTGACGTCACTCATCCCCCCCCCCCCCCCCCCCCGATCACCCCTTCATTATAGGTCATAAATTGCAGTCCTGCGTAAATTGACGTCACATAAGATGATATATGTGACATCGTTTATGGACAACCCCATATTTCTCATTTTAGGTATTTGGTATCAACATTTTGACAACAAAGGTTGTTCAAAATGTGTATTGGAGGTTAAGACTTGACATCTACCATAAATGACATCACGCACTTAAAGGGTGGAGTAACTGGTTTTGAGGCTACGGTTTCCGCGGGAAAGGGGAGGGGTAAGAAACGTGAAACGTTATGTATTTGGCCTAATACAAAAATGCTGACAAAATTCTTTTTCGTTCGAATTATGGCTTGACTTTTTAACAGTAATAACAGGCAGGGCAAAAAGGTAATTTTCGACATTACGACTATTTCGTGACGGCGAAAATGGGGGGGGGGGGTTATGGTGAAGAGATGTCAAAAAACGTGACGTCATTTATGATTAAATCACTAATTAAAGGGAAAAAGCATGAAAGTATGAAATGAAAATAGCAAACACACAATAACACAAACAATAACAATTAACTCAAACTAATATTTAAATAAACATTAGATATGTAGTGGTAGCTCTATAAAAATAGGGAGTTTCTTAATGTATAAATCATGCATCTCATAATAATAATTCTAGAACTGATGTTTATTTTCATTCAATTAAATTTTTTAAAGGTCAGAATTTAAAAAAAAAAACACATGCTTTGTATTTAAACACAAGACAATCGTATTTAATAGCAAACATCAATACTTTTCCATACAAATAGAAATTAAAGGGAAATGACTCAAAATAATATTTTCTTAAGATGGCCGCTGTTTTTAATAGCAAATTTAGTATCTGGAACATCGTTGTTAAACCTTAATTTTATGACATTTTTATTGATTTAACCCTTAAATGTGGTTTAATATTCAATTATCTTTAGTATTTTAGTAGAATATGCAAAAATATATTCATATTTAAGCCATATTTATTAGTTACCTTATCCCTACATTACTAGTGACGACCGAATTGATTACGCTAAAACGATAGATTACCCGGCATTATTTTGGTCTCTAGTTACACATTATCTTTATTGAATAATAATACAATTTTATGTGCTAGCCTATTTCACTATTTGATTTGTTTTGGCTTTTTTATTTCTTGACTGTTGAGATTGTTTTTTATTACGCTAGTCTGGCTGGCAGAAGTTGCAAAATACAATGACCTTAAAGTTAATTGCTGCACAATTGGCTCAAATTACTCTTCTTAACACCTGCACAGTAGTCTCAAATTATCCTTTTATAGATGCGCAATGACAAAATTAAATTATCCGTACTGTCTGTATGGTTGGGTAAAACTCCATTTTAGCGTATTTTATTTGCCGCTTCACGTTCACCTCTGGTTGAGCGTATTTTATTTCAAACACAACCGAAACACACAAAAACGTTTGAAAAACACTAGGATTAGAGCTAGATCTAGGCTATTTTTTTTATATATGAATGTGAGTTTTAATTAGAAAAGTTTAAAAAAAAACACATAAAAAAGCATTAGGACAGTTCCAATTAAATAGCGCAAAATCGTCAGCGGGAGAAAAATCCCTACACGGCCTAGGGTTCACCGTACGTTCACGTTGACTTTAATTATCAGCATACGTCATAGCTTGAGCAATAGCTATTTGAAATAGTGTTGGCCTCAGTTTTGGGGTCACAGTGAGTTCCTAAAAGTTTATAGCATTCAATATTCCAAATTTGGATTTTTCTCAAGTTTTGACAAAAGTAAATTATCAAAACGAAATCAAAACTTCATAAAGAAATAAGCCCAATGTTTTACTAACGTATTTGTGTTACGGTTGGGTTTATAATAAACCCCCCCTCCCCCAAGCCCTAGTGAAAGCAGCCATCCGTGACGACAATTTCCAGATGACAGTGACAAGATCAAGCAGAACTTGTTACCCCTCATTGTTTCAAATTGTTTAAAAACTAAATTATCTCCCCCTAATAGCCATCACCAATTCAACCCGGCTCTACGATTGTAAACTTTTAGCGTGAACCACAGCTCAACAGACTGCTGGGGGTGGTAGCGATAGCGTCTGTTGAGCATGCCTGGAGTGCGAGGCAGGGGGCGGATCGGCGTGCGTGGTGGTGGTGTCCGGCATGGTCCCACGTAGATAATTATATATATGTAGATTTTTTACTTGACGAAGTATTATCCACATACACGTTCCTCTTTTTCCCTTAAAATTCCTCTTTTTAAGTATGAATGTCCCTACTTTTTTTTGCTAGAGGTAGGCAGTGTTTCTTCCAGGCATCACTTCGTGAAGAGTCTGGAAGAAACACTGCAGGTAAGCATATCTGTTGACAGTATTTGTCCAAGCACTTGTTATGGAGAGCTTCATTTTAATCAATTTTTTAAAATACTTGTATTTAATGAAAAAAAAAGGTAAAAGCCTGATTGATCTAACATTTGTGTTTATTTGGGTATGGTGTAGCTGAGACTGAAATCCATTGCACTGTTGATTTGTATTGGTGTTACTGTATACTATGATTTACGTTTGAAAAAATTATACTCTGTTGTAATTAAATAATGGTTTTAAGTTTATTTCAACATTAAAAAAAAACAAGAAGCAAATTCAGAAGAAAAATTCCCAACATAACAGGAGTATATTTTAATAAATTTAATATGTTGCTAAAAGTGACTATTGACTAAATTTGATGCTGGGTCTGAATAGAGTTCTATTGGCTGTACAGAGTTTATTTGCTTGTTTATTTTTACTTTGATTATCTTTTTACTTTGTTAAATTTTAAATCATGTATTTAGGCAGGGGTGTGAATTTTCAGTCAGCAGTACCCTACTGTAGTGATATGTTTTAGTTATATGTTTTCACCAAAACAAAAACATTTGGAAAAAGTAATCTATAACAAATAGATTATCTTGACCTGTGACGTCTTTTTAAGTATAACTGCAAAATTTAAAAAGCTAGGGAAAGGAAATTTTCCCCACAAAAGAATTTTGTTCCAAAATTTAGCTACACTGAATTGTGAAGGCTATTTCTTCACATCTTGCACTAGTTTCAAAACTAATGTTATTAAGTAACTTTTCTTCTGTTGCTTTCCTAGATGCCGAGAACTACCAGACGAAGTGCTGCTTCCAAAGAGGAGCCTAGCCCTGAACCAGTGGAGGCTCCAAAAACACCTAGCAGGCCAAAGCGGTAGTGTTTTATATCTATGTGCCTGCACCATGTTTGAATTAAAAATTGAGTTTAACATGACTACTTAAAGATTTCTTTTTTATTTTATACTAGTAATATGCCATGATAATAACTTAAACAACCACGCTAAACTGAATGACCACAGACCAGTGACACTCATATTAATGTGCTACTGAAGTCTAAATTTATTTGGACATTTTTGCTTTGATTTTTATTATCAATTTTATATTTACTTTATCTAGTTGATCATTTAAATTTAATTGAACTGAAGAGTGGTAACTTCCATTAGCGGTTGAATGGAATAAATTGTGTATATGTGTTAATGTTACCAAGTGAGCCTTGTGGTGAACTAGAAGACTAACTTAATATTTTAGGGGTGCAAAAAAGGAAGAGCCAGCCCAAGAGGAAGTACCAAGTGGAGAGCCTTTAGAGACACCTACAAAGCGAGGAAGACAAGCAGCTAAAGGTACATTTTTGTCGCTGCTTCTTGCATGTCGGTGGTAGAGTTAAAGAGTAGTGGTTAGTCTATTGTAGTTTCCTCCGGGTTGATTTTTATTTGTTGTTTTTTTATTTATTGTTTGTCGGTGAATAGTTGTCCTAGTTTTAGAGGAAGCTTGGATTTATTCTTAAATTTATTTTTTGTTTTTTTAAATATATTTAAGTCCATTATAATAAAAACCTTTTATTTATTGTAAAATATGTATAGAATACTTTATACTGGATTATTAACAATATTCTGCTGATGTATAGCTGCCACACCTAAAGAACCAGAGGTAAAAGAAGAGCCAGCTAAGAGAGGTAAATCTGCTACTGGTGGCAGGTCCACGTCTCGTGGCAGAAAAGGTAGAAAGCAGGAAGAATCAGAGGAAGAACAGGAACCAGAAGAAAAGGCAGAGGAGGAAAAAGTAGAAGAAGAAGAGGAAGAGAAAACACCACGAGGAGGGGCCAGGAGTAAAGGAAAAGGTCGGTCCGCGTCCTCCGGTGGACGAGGAAAAGGGAAGGCAGTAGAGGAAGAAAAGGAAGAAGAAGAGGATGTTAAGGCTGTGGAAACTCCAAAAGTCAAGGCAGCTGCTGTCACTCCTTCTCCAAAGGGGGGGAGGAAGCCTCGAGGTAAGGCTTCGGCTGAAGACATAACTGAAGAAGAAAAGAAAGAAGATGCTGAAGAGAAAATGGAAGATGAGAAAGAAGGAGGAGGAAGTAATGGGGCAGAGACTAAAGGCAGACAAAAGCGGACTCCCATCAAAGCAGCAGAGACAGCAGCCACGCCCCCAAGTGGAGGTCGGAAGGGGAGGGGTCAGAAGACAGCTGAGCCAGCTGCCAAGGCATCTCCTACACCACCAAGGTCATCTCGTCGTGGGGCTTCAGCTACTGCCACCCCAGAGGCAGAGAATGCAACAAAGGAAGAGGCAATGGAAACTGCTGGTGAAGAGGCTAAAATGGAGACTGAAACTGCCAGTACAGTGAGTGTTTTGTTTTCTCATTATATATTAGTCCTTACATTTCTAAAATATATTATAAAATGTATACTTTATTTTTATTTATTATGGTTAATTATGTTCTTTACAATTAATACAATAGTGGTCTTGGTAAAATGTGGTCTATTTATTTAATGGTACAAGGTGTAGAAGTAGAGTTTACAGTTAACATGTTTTAGTTTCTGGTTGGTTGGGTAATTGAAGATACTAGTACTGGAAGCTTCATATGGTGTTAGAATCCAACCTGCTCTGATGGGTACCTGACTGGAGTTTATATAAGCAAAGACACCGAGCATAATGCAGTCTTAAAATTACTGTCATATACAGAGGTCATAGATACATTAAAGTTATTTACGTCTTTAATCTTAAAGTTCAATCTTTTGACATAAATAAAGGATTTATCGTCCTCTGTATTTATGATGGCAAAATTCAATAATTTTGATGTAAATGTTTTTTATGTTTGCTTTGAATATAGGAGAAAACTGAGGACTCAGTCAGCCCAGGCAAGAAGCGTAAATTGGGAGAAGAAGAAGATGACAGAAGTGTGAAGAGGTTACGAGTCTCAGACACAGAGGATCCTCTTGACCAAAGTGAGGAGGCTAGTGATTTCGTGGTTGTTAACAAAGAGGATGTCCCAGCGCCTGATAGCAAAGAGGTAGAAATCTGATAAAAAATGATCAAACATTTGTTCTATGGCTATCAATAATTTATATAATAATAATTGGTAGAAATAATATACTGTTGTTTTTCCTGAAATATTTTTGTAATACTTAGTTTATTTTTCCAAGGTTACTGAATCCCTGCCCCCTGCTGTACCTGAACCAGTGAAACCAGCTGAAGACAAACCTGCAGACCCTGTTGTTCCTACATCTGTTGAATCATCTGACAGCACTTTTGTAGTTCCGCTTACGGAGGTGGAACTGACGAAGCAATACACTAAAGAGCATAAAGTAATCATTGTTTATTCTTGTATGATTTTGCTGGTGTTATTCTTTTACTTATCAAGACTCATGCTTTTTGATTTTTCTCAGCAACAGGAAGCAGATGAGACCTCCTCTATTTTAGTAGAGGTGGGTAGCGAGGCCGCCTCGGACATCACAGGCTTTTCATCCAGGACCTTAGACGTCAGTGATGCTTTATCCATGGATTCCGGATCCGGAGAGCAGTCCGAGGTGCCCATGGATACGTCACTAGTCACACCACAGGAGCCAGAGGATGTCGCAGCCCCCATTGAAGACATACCAGATGCTAAAGTCACTGCTCAGCCCAGTGTTACTGTTGAAGCTTCGCTAAATAACAATGCACGGAACGATGGCTTGATAAACGTAATATAGCTGTCCTCATGCAATAAATTTAACTGTTCTATTACTACTTGTATTTTGCTGTGCTATCTATCTGTATATTCGTACACTTGTTGTTTTATTTTTTTATTTCTATATCCTATTTCCAAAGATTTTTCTTTATACTATAGACTTTCATCTTTTATGACACTGTCTTGTTAGCCCTTTACAATTTTCTACGACCGCGGTCACATAAGTGTGGTAAAATCCAGTGCGTCCGCTGTCAACCTAACTACGTATACGTTTATTTATGCGTAGTAACAAAAGGCTTGTTAGTAACAAGATTATGAAAATTCTGACTGGGGCAGGAAATAATATGTTTTATTTACGTTGTTTTCTTGTTGATCTATCACTACTTGTTTATTTTCTATAACTTTTCTAAGGTTAAGAATTTTACTTTTTTGAGATTACGGGCAATATAATTACCGATGTTAAGTCTAACTCAAATGCATCTCCTGTTTTAGCAGGCTTCATTTAGAGTGTACTAAAATATTTTTAGCATTTAAAATAAGTTTTTATAGTAATAATAATACAGCGTTGTTTTTTTTTACTACGATAAATATAAATTTTTATTTATTATTAATAAACTCTAATGCTGTTTTACTTCATACATAATAAACTGAGACCAATTTTGTGTTTAATGCTCTTTATTTTATTTATTTAACGGTAAATGGTTTTTTTTTTTTAAGTGCCGTCTTTGAAAAGATGCGTCTTTTCGCCAGGCGGTAGGGAAATATAAAACAGTCCTGGACTGTAAAGAGTTACTCTATGTAAAATTGGGGTTCATGTATTCTCGTTTATGCCCAAAAAAAAAAGTATTCCATAGTATATAATAGTATTTTGCCTTGAAAAGCCAGGCCAATTCTGCTAAATGTTGTCTGGCCAAAAAGAAAATTGTCCAATCTATTGGTTCTAGTCCAGACTTATACTTACCAAACTGAATAATCTGGGCACTTAATGATGTTTTCCATTAAAGATTTGTTTAATTTAACATGTTAAGATTGTGTATCAAATTTTCCAAATAGACTTATTGTGATTTAAAAAATAAAAAGTCAGTAAAGTAGTGCATAAGGGGATGTCAGTGTATCCTTGGTTTTATTGGTTTTTAGACAATGTAAATCTCTTATACATGTAAAATAATTACTGCTGCAAGCAGTGCTAGTTTTTTTTTAAACAATTTGTCTATAATACTATCATGTGCTCTAGAATAAGGGTTGCCAACCTTTTGAGGCGGAAGAGCCAAAATTTACAATTTTTAAAATTTCCCAGTTTTTAGAGAGCCACATTAGATTTGTTATATAAAATAAATAGCTTTAAATATGAAATAATATATATTCATATAAAACAATACACTTGTTTCGCCAGAATAATGAAATTAGTAATTTTAAAAAAGGGGCTGGAGAGCCGCATCTTTACGTCAAAAGAGCCGTATGCGGCTCGCGAGCCGCAGGTTGCCGACCCCTGCTCTGGAAGGAAGGCTAATAAAGCTTTTGCTATGAAGAACAATTAATATTTAAAATAAGCCACTTCTGAATGTGAGTTATATACTATACAAATATGAATAATTTGTAAATACTCCCCTTTAAATAATAAACATAAGTTAACCAAATTTATGTTAATTAAATTAATTAGATTTTATGAGTAAGATTAATAGAAGTTGGCAGAAATTAAGTAGTTGATTATTAGTAAAATGTACTAAACTGTTAACAATCTTTCCTTATGCTAATCCTAAGTGAATGCTAAATCAGCCTATTAAAAAAAACTGATGAGGTAATTTGCTGCGCTGGCAAGGTATGGTGCATTTCTTAATTGAAAAATATAAACAATTTGCTTTACTGTATACAAGGTTAAGTTCTTAAACCCTGCACTTTTTACAATGAAGTAGCCATTCCTAAATGAGGTAATATGAGTTAGAGTTATTGTTTGAAAAGAAACATTAATGGAGAAACTTCTACCAGTGCATCTATTTAAATCTAATGTGCAACAAGCTTGAAGGAAGAAAGTTTGGCATTTTTATATTCATTTATTATTAAAAAGTAGTGTTTAAATTTTTAGACTAAGCTAACAAACCCTGGATCTAGTAATAACTTACCAGTCGGGCATTCATCAAATAAAGATTTAGTTTCTCAGAACATTTTTTAACCCTTGTTTCTTGTAACCATTTTGTCCTATTTAAATTAAATGGTGCATATTAAAAATTGGTTTACTTATAATTTGAGGTTGATTATGAAGTTATAGGCTTGTGAAAATAAAGTATTGGACCCATCGATTTGCAACGCAATGAAAAAAAAAATTGTATTTAAGGAAAAAATAGAATTTTTAGCGTAAACAAATTAACAATTATTTTTAGTTCTGAAAGTTATCTTAAAGTCATATATTTAAATAAAGTTCAATCTGAGCCTGAAATATTCTTTTTTATCAATTTCAAGGTAACACAAGATGCAGTGAATGCAAATTATGTACCAAGCTCAACAAGCATTCTCAAGCGCAAGTTTATCCTAAACAAAAATTTTCCTGCCGATATGATGGACCCTGCATATTGTTTTAGTGTAGTGAGCTACAATGTCCTGGCAGAATGTCATATGGCCAGGTAATCTTATTCAAAACTAATTCAGTATTGAAGGATTTTATCCTTAGTATTAACAATATTGGATGGCTAACCTGAAAGTTCGCATCCAGTTCTGATGCTAGGGAAAGAGAGCTTTTGGCATATTTCTGACCACATTATTTCTTCAGATGCAGAGGTCACAGAAACAGGTGAACTCTTTATCTACCCCTTGGGCCGCATGGTTCAAATCGGTAGCTTCACTTTTTTTTTATTGACAACATCAACCTTAATCATGCTGGCTATCAGAGAGGAATTCACAGAGTTAAGTGATCATGATTGGTTGCTAAACCGAAAAGTCCAGATTTCAAACACTCTGGCAGATGAGGCTCGATACCTGAGTACAGCAATGCCATCTAGGAGAGAAAACTCCAAAATCAAACAACTGCCTTGTAGATTGTTCTTGGATGCACAAAAGCTATGGAAGCAAACCCAAAAAAGAAAAGCAGGCTGAAATAGTAGTCAACTGCCTGTATGACGTATAACAGGTGTACAGGTTATAGATGGTGGGAACGCTGTGCAACATTATAATTAAGAAGGAAGAAGAAGAAAACACCCACACTAAAGTAAACATAAGAACGACGTCGTTTCAGCTGCTAGTGTCTGGTTTATGGACACTGCAGTAAATGACAGTGTGGCTTGTTATTTTCACCAGTGTTTTTTTTTTTTAGTTGATCGCCATTATGAACTTTTGCTTCCCTTGAGGTATATAAAACAAAAATGCTCTTGGGATTTTTCACATTCACTATGGAATACTCCCTTTGATGCAAATACCAATATGTTTTCTAATGAAAAGGATGGTCTAGCACAGGGGTCTCCAAACTTTTTAGCCCGATGGCCGCATTAACTATCAAATATAAGTTCGGGGGCCAGTCTCACAATGTTTTCACCAATGTCTGCAACATGGCAGGCTATGGTATATGCACCCAAAGCTACATTTTCAAATTGTTTTAAATTTTCTGGGCAAAGCTCCTCAGCCATCTCCAACAAACATTTTTTCCGTGGACAAAAAGATTGCCGCGGGCCGGATGAGAGGTCCTCGCGGGCCTCATCTGGCCCGCGGGCCGTAGTTTGGAGACCCCTGGTCTAGCAGAAATATGTATGATTACCCAAAATCACCAGTTTGGAACTTGGCCAGTAGACTGTAGGTTGTCCCCTGCACGCAATTTCCAAATCGGGTAGTGGGCTGCTCTGGGTTAGGAAGTAAATTACCCATGGGTCAAGGTGCTTGTAACACGGGTTAGAGAAGGGCTTTGATTCTTAATGTTGTTCCAGGCTGGCTGGATAATGAGGAAAAAAGCTTGTTCCACTATTGACTGTTTGTGTGAGAGAACTTCAAATCCCTGCTGTTGTTCACTTTTTATACATTTAAGTAAGAAAGTGAATTGTTTTTTTTTTATATAAAGTAATCAGAGAATTAATATGTCTGGTTTTTTTAATTAACAGGGGAGACTACTCATACACACCAAAAGAAATGAAAAATAACGATTTTAGAACTGAAACACTGCTCAAGGAACTTGAATATTTGGATGGGGACATAGTATGTTTGCAAGAAGTCAGTCCCTCCCTTTACAAAAATGTTTTAGTTCCTGCTATGGCAAAGTAGGTATTGATTTCTTGGATTCAAATAGAAAAATCATATTTTTAAAAATGCAACAATATTTACAAAAAATGAAAGCATTGGTTCACAATACAATCTTTCTTTGTCATTTGCTTCATCTCTATTAATCGTTTTGCTATTCTGTCTGTCTCTCAACTACATATAGATCAAGGTTAAATCCGATTAAAATGTCGATGCTGGATAAAAATTTGTTTTCAACGACATTTTTCGTTTCTGGTATAATTTGAAGTTGAAGTGGTGATGTTGGTTATAGGTTTGGTTTAGAGAAAAAGGCAACACAATCAACTAAGCGCCTGTTGTGTTTCTCCCTCAATGGCCATTTATCTAGTCTATTTATATTAATACTATTAACTTTTAGCTTTTTAACAATACTTGTTAAGCAATGTATTTTTATATGTGTACATTATTTTGCGTAGGGTATATTTAGTCATGTATATATCTCTATTAAGGAATGGGCTCTCAAAATTTCCAAACTCTTTCTCTTTTCACAACATATTGATCCTTGCTTTTTTTAAAAGTTAAATAAATATATATTTATATATATATAGGCCTATATATATACTAATATATATAAAATATTAAAGTAATGATTTAATTCATGAATTTTTTTTTTAAATATGAGTAATAATATTTTTTTACGTAATAGCTAGCACATGAAGACACAACATCCAGAATTTAAAATAATCTGCACATACAAAATTGTGACCATTAAAGTTTGGTGACATTAGTGTGATCATTAAAATATTGCTGTCAAATTCTTAATTTCTTTCACAGGAATGGTTATGCAGGTGATTTTATTAAAAGGACAAAAGATTATTGGGAAGAAGGGGAAGCAACTTTTGTGAAGACATCTAAATTTACAGTTCTTTCTTCTAATGGATACTCTTTAACAGACTTGGCCTTTAAGGTAGGTGTTACATTTGGTTCCCAGAAAAATGTGCACAAAAATAATAGTTGTCTGAATCGAGTCAGGCACGTCCGCTGACGTTTGGGTGACCTATGAAGGGCACCTTACAATAGGGCTTGTAAGTAGGTCACAACTTCTTGTTCACCTACTTGCCAGCTAGTAGATTTCCAGACCGTAGACTTACAAGCCCTATAGGGACAAGGCACACTATAATCAATGATTAAACCAAACCAGGGGTAGTACCTGGCAACCCTGAGATAATGTAACCTGTGGCTTCCGAGAACGCACAGCGATGCCTTTGACTCTTGGCTGGCACCAAAGGTTGAACACCGTACACTCAAGGCTGGTGTGTCTGGGTGGTAGTAGTCGTTTGAAAGTCAGCAATTTAATTTAGGGACGGAGTGGCCTAGCGGTAGAGAGCTGGACTGCTAACCCGTAAGTCTCGAGTTCGAAACCGGGTTCAAGTCAGTAGACCGTCCCTGAGTCCACCCAACTCTGATGGACACCTAACTCACGTTAGGGAAAGTAAAGGCGGCTATGCATAGTGCTGACCACGCTATCTCTGTATATGCCGAGGTCACAGAAACAAGTGAACTCTACTTCACTTGCCCCATAGACCGTCAGGTTTGAAAGGGAAACTTAACTTTAATTTAATTTTAAAAATAAAACGTTTCCACAATTTCCATTTTTTCCAAGCAACAAAAAGACTAATTTTAATGGGTTAACTGAAGATGTTTACCCCACAATTAGCAGGATTGTGCTATTCTACACTGCTTAATGACATATGTCTCTGGTTCTGCTATAAACAAAGTAATAGAACTATAATTATTATAGTAAATTCCTATACATTGTTGAGGGGTATATAGTAAAAGCTTTGTTTTGAAGCTTAAAAAAAAATGTATGTTTCATTTTTCCCATGTAGGAAGTGGAAAAGAGCGCATTGAATCCTGAAGTCAGTGAGGAGGCCAAAAAGTATTTGGATAGGGCAGATGTAATTCTATTGACATCATTACTGTGTTTGAAAACCAAGAAGACGCTCACAGTCTGCAACATCCATGTGGTTTATGATGATCAGGCACCAGATGTCAAATGTATTCAGGTAATTTTTGACTAACTACACATGGAACACACCTGTCGTTTTAACTTGCAAGTGGTCTAGTTGTCATGTGTGCTGTAATTAGCTTTTGGCAATAATGTCTTCTGTGTTGTGATCTAATGGGTTCCTGACTTACGTAGGGGAAAATAAAAGCGGCTGGTTCTTAGTGCTGACTACACCAGGCGTACATGTGAATTCTACTTACTTCATCTGCCCAATGGATCTCTAGGTCTAAAGAGGAATCTTTACTTTTTACTTTCTTGTATACATAGTAAAAAGAAAGTATTGTGATCATTTAAATAAATGTAATTGTTACGGGCCAGTTGTAGGTTAGTTTAGAATAGGTTAGAATAGTCTAGACCTAGGGGAGAGTGCCTGTGTGAGTGGAGTTCACCTTACTGTGTAGTTACCCTTGTGTGTTTATGTCTTGTAATCCCAAGGTCGAATGCGGGTATAAAAGGGGGAGTGAACGATTGTGGGGGGCAGTCAGCGGGTTAGTAGCGGTTAGGACGAGGGCTGTTCTGGTAAGCTTGAATGCATTGAGACAAATAAAAGGAGTGAAGTTATACACAAAGCGTTGTTATTGATTTGAAATGAACCCAGAACGTAACAGTAATGAATTTTTAATACTTTTTGTCATTTTACACTTCCATACTGTTTCCTGTACAGAATTTAAAGGATGTATTGTAATTATACAAATATCAAATTTCGTGTCTATATCCTGAGTTGCCATCCATTCCCCCCCACCCCTACTGTTATATAATAATATACTTTAAAGCTCTATTTTTACTTAGATAATGGCTGTAGTTTATTTCTCTGTGCGCTAGATTTGCTCTGCTATTAACCTGATGGTGAGGTGAAAGCAAATAGCATTTTTTTATTTCTATTTACCACTGATTTTCTAACATGACTTCTGTACTACCTGTATCTGCAAGAATTTTTTTTACACATGCCCAATTGTATACTTTAATTCACTATAACAAGCAGTTGAGTCCATTTTTATTGGTTTGATTTTGAAACTAACAATGTATTAGTTGATTATTTTTTTTCTGATTAATATCCTTATTCTAAATAAAGGAAATTTAATATGTTCTGTATTGAACTATCAACAACTTTCTATTGTACTAAACCTATATTTTTGTTAGCAGTTGAAGTAATTTTATTCTAATTTGGAAAGAATGTTTTTCTTGGCTAGTCATTACATTCAAGACAGCCAGAAGTTTAGTTCAAAATTAACATATTATAATTTATGTAAGATATTTACTTGCATGCCAGTATAGCTACAATGAATGATGCATTTGTTTACTTTTTCTTATTAGTGAGTTCAGTTGCCACTGTGATGCCAGAATTTTAAAATCTAATGAAAATGTAATGTAATCTGATGTAATTTAGATTTAACTTGATAAATTCAATATTTCAAACTCAGCGGCTTAAAATTAAAATAACACTTTAGACTGCATAATTTGCTACTACCTAATTAAAACAATCCTGTTATCATCTTAACTGGGTAAAAAAGGTTTCACAATTTGTGTAAGCCCTTAAAATATATATACGCTTGTAAATGTAAGCAATGTTTACAGAATAGGTTACAAACTACGATTTTATTACTTGAGAAGAACTTGTCTCACATTTCTAGAAGCAGATACTTTTAGCTTGAGGTTCCTGTAGTGAAATAATTTAATTTATTCAATGTGTCATCCTTAATGGCTACCTCTGTACAGTGTCATAATGGCTAGCTGCAGTTTTATTGTTTGCTACAGTTATACAGTGTGACCCATAATATCTAGCTGCAGTTATAGTCTTACCTGCACTGACTAGCTGGGGCTAGTTGTGCCGCGTACTACCATATAACACGTGCTGTGTTGCTCTCACTTAGGTGGCCCTGGCAGTGAGGAAGCTGGTATCTAAATCAGGGAGCGACATGAACCCCCACATCATCTGCGGAGACTTCAACTCAGATCATAACTCCCCAGGCTACCACTTAGCAAAGGAAGGCTATCTCTCAGACAACTTCATCCAAAGCCTACAGAATATTAAGTCTCTTGCCACCAAGGAAGGGGAAGAAAAGGTCACATTTTTATTTACTTTTTTTAGTGCTTATAATAACACATCATTTTTAATTTCTTGTATACAAAGTATAGAGGAAGTATTGTAATCGCACAAAAAAAATCGACGTTTTACACCTCTCTGAGTCAGAAAAACATAGTTTTGCAATTTTGTCTGTGTGTATGTAGGCTTTATTTGCGCCTAGAATTAATTTTTTTATTATGATCAATTTCTATAAATTTTATTTTATTTTGAAATACCTAGCTCATATTACCTTATATCTTTCTACTCCCCCCTTTCAGTGTACTTTCCATTAGATAGTGTGAAAGCCACTTTCTTGTGCAATAAAGTGTTATTTTGGAAAGATTTAGTAACTGTATTGTTTTGTTATTTACAGTCATCTTTAATCAACTCCATGTGGGGAGCTTTAAAGTGTTATTTTGGAGAGGTTTAGTAACTGTATTGTTTTGTTATTTACAGTCATCTTTAATCAACTCCATGTGGGGAGCTTTCCAGCATACTTCCAGCCACTTGACCAGTGCCTATAGAACTGTACAGGTGACATTTTATTTCTTTTTTTTTTTAAAAAAGAGCCAAAAATTAAAAACTACAAATCAAATTAATTTAGCCCTTCATTTCATGAATTAATTTTTTGAAACCGATTTCAATGAAAAAAATACTGATGGATAGGTTATAGTATGTAGAATACAAAAATAGTAAGAAAAAGCTATTTTTATTTCATGAAAATTTTATTTTGTAAAATAACAGTATGTAACAAAATTGATACAGTATGCAACAGTAAGAAAAAAAAAATAAAAAAAAATAAAAATCTACTGATGAAATTTCAAAAAACAGTTCTTGTTTTTAGTAAAGCAAAAGTTAACTTTACATTTTGTACACAAATAGCTGCTTAATCCCTTGCACCCTGGCAATTTGCACCTTTGTCGTGCATCACCATGAACCATCCAGTGACCAATTTGGTCAGTTCTAATGTTTGTAGGGGGGACAACAGCTGTGCGTCCTCTGTGTCTTTTAACCTCAATCATACGGTCAATGTCAGAGGGCCTTCCTCTCCTTTTATTTTGGGAGGTTCCCATCTTACAAAGACACTGTGCAACTTCAGCGCGGAATTCCCATAATGTCATTTTTGTTGTGGCACCTGTTTGGGAATTTGCTCTTCTATAAAGAAGCCAAGCGTTCACAGATGTGACATCCATCAAGTGGCAAAAAATTCTGAAATACCATTTCTTTGACCGTAAGAGTATTCTGTGTCTGGCAATATGACTGTCCAGTAAATCAACACCCCCCATGTGTTGATTATATTCCTTTATAATATTGGGGCAGTCTATCTCAATCATTTCTTTTCTTTTCCTGTCGTAACGTACAACTTTTGTTATGGGAAGTTCTCCAGAACAGGTAGATAGTAATGTAACTTGTTTGTTGTCTTTCCATATCACATTGCACACATCAACTCCATCAACTGTAGCTGTGAATTCTTCAGAGGTTCCTCTAGGCAGTTTTTTTAATTTAGCATCATCCATCAACTTGCAGTTTGGAATTCTATTCCTCCTAACGGTACCCAACATATATATCCCTTGTTTGGCCATATGAACTGCCAGTGGCAATGACATATAGTAATTATCACAGTACAGTTTAGCATTTTGGAATTTATCAATAACCCTTGAGAGACGCACAACAACATTTGCACTGGGACCTAATTCTGGCTCATCATCATTTCTTTTTGTAAAATAATTTGTAGGGCCTGAATATATTTCAAAGTTATAGGCAAACCCAGTAGCCCCACATAAAACAAATAGCTTGAAGCCCCACTTATTGGGTTTTAATGGCAGATATTGTTTTAGATGGTGCCTTGCTTTGGTTGCACATATCTGTTCATCCACAGCCATTCGCGGTTCCCTGGGCACTGCGGAAAATTTGTTATTTAGCTTGTCTATAATTGGTCTCAATTTGAACAATTTATCATGCTGAGGATGCCCTCTATCCAGCATCAAATTATTGTCATTGAAGTGCAGTGTACTTTTCAATGCTTCAAACTTGTTTATGGGCATAGAATTACTTATTTCACTGATGCCAATATCAGGTCTCCAATAACACCTTGTCCTAGGTAATGAAATTACAGACATGTACTGTAAAATCCCAATAAACTGTTTTATGTCCAGTTCATTATAAATCATAGTGTTATTTGGATTCTTCTGTGTGCAGTAAAGGTTAGTTTGTTCACAAATAAAGCTAACACAATCATCATCAATGAAATGATGAAAAAAATCATAAGGTGTCTTCAGTTGTGTGACTGAATCTGGAAGCACTGAGCAGCCTTTGAAGTCCAAACTTTCTTGGTCTAGAACTAAGTTTCTCTTTTTCCATAGAACATTTTTGTGTGTCACTTTAGCAGTGGTGCCTGATGTAGAAGCTTCTACATTTACTGGTGGTAGAGTTGATGATGAAGCCTGCGGCTCCGAATCAGATTCCTCACTCTCCTCGGTGCCACTGTCTATGTGTTCTTGCTGAACTGCAACTTCATCTTCAAGGTCAAAAGAATCAGAGGAATCACCTGACATTCCTTCAATATCACTCTCATCTAGATGCTCTAGGAAATCTGCCAGCTCCTTTTCGGAGAGAATTCTGCGGCCAGAGCCCTTGTTCATTTTTGATACCTGTAAAATAAAATGAAAAAATAATGTCACCACTAAAACATTCTATAAATTATATATGTATAAAGTTCTATATAAATATGTATATTCTTGTGTATGGCTAGATCTATGTACTAATAATGCAGAACTAATAATGCTATGACATATTATAACACTATTAATTTAGAAGATAAATATATGTAGGCCCTATATTTATATGTTACTTTCAGTAATAATATTATAGATAAAGTTCAATGTAAATATTGGGCCACCTGCAGGCCCAATAATCAATCAAGGATAGAGATCTATAGATACTAGATCTAGTTCTAGTTTGAGTAAGGATTTTAACACTAGATCTAGTAGTATGTGTACTAGTATGTTGATCATGGCCTAGAATCTAAATCTAGATCTAGATTCTAATTTTTATAATAAACATCTATAACATTTCTCTTCAGTAATTACTTTTATAAATAAAAATATAAAAAGAATGCAAGCTGATCTAGTACATATTGCATTAAAGGTAACTAAACCTAGATCTAAGTAAAGTATTGATTCTGAAAGAGTGACATTTCACTACACTAGATTCTATGAAACAGAGTCAAGTCAAAGCCTTCCTGGAAGGCTCCCGGCCAGCAAGGTGTTACCGTTTCATGGTGTATCAGAACTGAGACATTCAGTAAATTGATGTTATCATCATGAATCTAATAAAATAATATGTAAATAACAAAGCTATATGTAAAACTACTTACCTCCAAATAGGAAATATTTTTTTCACGACAAAAATCGCAGCCTCTAAATAGAATTTAACTTCTCAAAATGCACCTCCTCAAACACTGTCTGACTAGAGTAAACTGACCGATTCAAATCTCGAGCGTCTCATATACAGCGCACCTATAGTCTGTTTCAGGCTTAAATCTAGGTCAAAAGTGATCTAGCAGCAATGGGAACATTTAAAAAGTGGATTTTGATCATTAGTGTAAATTTATTTGTAGTTATTTCGCTTTGTAACAAAACTGATACAACATGAAATGAAGGGTTAGGATTGTTTTATGTATGAAACAGAAAAGTGCCAAGACATGTGCAATTCACATCATATTTTACTCAAACTTTGCACACAATTTATTACCCGTCTCCACAATAAACCACTTCCATCCGCATCTTGTGGTTGAGCTGATAGTGAGGCCTTTAATATAAAATATTCTCTGGCTATCTCATTTCTACTAGATATGTTTTTTTTTTATATAGATCTTTAATGTGATTAATCTTAGTTCCTCCAAAAAAATTCTAAATCAAGTTAGGTTTGACACATTTGGAGGAATATATGAAAGAGGGTTATTAAATTATTATTGTATTGTAAGATTAACTAAATATTATTGTCATTTGATTACTACAATTTATTCTGGACGTATGATTTAAAGTGTACTTTTATTTTTAAAATGTCTTTGAATGTTTCAAAAATTTGGAAACAACATGAATATGTTTAGAAAATTTGAACTCGCCCCTCTTCTCCCATGCTTGTAAATGATGTCTGTTTTTTTTTTCAATGGTAGTGAATATATTTTAATATCTTTAATATCACATTATCACTGCAACCAAAACAGGTCCTTTAAACATACATACTTTGGTGGTGGTGTTTATAATTCTAATTTTAACAGTACATCACTGCAATTACAATCTATGACTCAGTGAATTGTTCCAATGCAATACTGTACATAAGTCTGTACTAATAGTGACTGCTCCAATATAAAATTATAGAAAAGAATTCTTGTCAAAAACAAAATAGACAGTTTTTATGCCAAAGAAACAAACTTTGATAAATGACTGACTGCCCCTTTAAAAGAGTCATCTTGCTTTTAATTTCAGGGTAAGGAACCTAGTATCACAACTTACACCAAGAACATGTATGCAGGTGTGGATTACATATTCCACTCCTCATTATCCCTGGATGTTGTTGGGGTGCTGGAAGTGCTAGACGAGGTGTTTATTACCAAGTTAGGTGGACTGCCTAACACCAAGATCCCCTCCGATCACCTCTCACTCAAGGCTGTCTTCAGAATGAAGTAAATCTTGTAGTTGTAAATCTCTGTCTCTCTTTACAAATAATGCATTTTTCTCTTTTCACAAGGCAGTTTTATAAGTAAAAAGGTTTTGGTTGGAAAATTGTTCTTTTTTTTTTTTTTTTTTAAGGTTTTTTTAACAATTGAGGGGAAAATATAGGAGTGAATCTGTGTGTTTTAAAAAAACCAAGTACTTATTATTAGTTTGTTTTTATACAAATTTTTCTCAGGATAAGCCATCATTGCTAGTTATCCCATCTGTTAGGTGCCTAGGTTGTCATAGGAAATTTATCTTCAAGTCCCTATCATACTGTTAAGTTCTATATTGTGGTTTCAAATCTTTATAAATGCTGGTATTTTTTTATAACACTAATATAGTTTAGTTGTCCTTGCTTTTAGAACAGAATATGACTGATAAGATAGCTGTAACTTGAGTATCCCATAGCTTTTAACTTTGTGCATATTGTTCTATCGTCATTAATTTTCATTGGTTATTGAACCGGAAAATATGTCTGCCTTAGTAATATCATTTATAGTCAGTAGAGTTTGAAATTAGTCCTCTGTTTGTTTTACTGGTACCTAGTTTTTAGTTTTATTTACATCCTTTTTAAAAAGAAAACTATTTTTAATTTAAATCAGCTGCTTAGTTATATCTGTCTAAATTAATTTAATTTTTCAAATCTAAATTTTAAATTACATATTTAACACCAAGAGTCCACCCCTTTTTTGTAATATGAAGTGTTCATCTTGCTTTGTAAACTTTTCTTGTAGAAGGAGAGAAAACCATCTAGCGTAAGTAAATCGAGTTCTGAAAGATTGTTTGTTTTTCAAAATTGTTAAACGTTAGCTTTGGAATTAGTTGTTGTAGGATTTATTCAAAAGCCATTCTGTTTATGGGCATGGTGGACTCCTGTCATGCTCTCAGTACAGGCTGGCTGCGATGGGCTGGACAGAAAAGCTTTTTTTTCTTCTTCCACCCCTGTTGCCAGCCACTAATCTATTTATTTCTAGCTGTTAGATGGAAAGATGGGGTATAATATTTGAATGTGGTTCCAACAATTTATAGATCTAGTATCAGAATACAAATATTAATTTAAATATAGCCTCATTGTTTGCCTTAAACAATTTTAAGAAGAAACAATGTCACATCTCCTCCCCACCCCCCCCCCCCACCCCCCACCCCCACCCCCTCCGCTTTAGGTAGTCATGACCTCTATAAACAAGTTTCCTTCTTTGATCTCTTCACTAGATATCAAATAACAAGTAGTACTGGTCCTTTCGTATGTTTATCTTTTAGTTTCACTGTATTAGTGTTTTTGTTAGCCTTTCCATTTATTTTTTTTGTCATTTATTTGTTTCTTACTGAAAAAGTGTGAAAAATAGTATAATTCAGGTGTTGTTTACATATATATATATATATAAAAATTTTTGAGTGTAAAAAAATGTACAAAATCCACTTTATGGGAGTTGAAGTTTTAGGAACATTCCAAAGTTAATTTTTACCCATTTAGAACCTGTACTACGATTTGTCGTGTTAAGTTGAAAAATGCACATTTTCTATTTCGTGAAATTTTGCGATTTAAAGACAAAATACTTTTGTAAAGATGATATTCTGAATAAATTCAGATTGCTAAACAGTAAAAATGAGAAAGATTAGGGATAATTGTAAGAGGATTTCTTACAAATGTAACAATTCAAATGTTTCATTTCAGAGAGTGAGGTGACTGCACCTAGTATTACACGTTTTTAATTTTATCCCTTTTCACCTTTGGACCAGGAGCATTCAATGTCAACATTAATTCAGCATCTGCGTTAGTTGTGAGTGAAAAAATTGACAGTTTGTTCTTTTTATTTCATCATGTTCTGAGGTTCATGAGGGGGGTGATATTAAGCATTTAAAGTGAGTTTTACAAACGTATGTGGTTCATTTCTATCTGGTCATTAAACAGTTTAAATAAAAATCTTAAGTTATTAAACCGAAATGTAGGTTCCCGTGTCTTTATGTGTGTCTCTGATGGATCAGGGTTAGGGTTTCTGCTAGAGTTAGGAAAATGGTAGTGTAGACAGCAATACAATAGCAAATATATGCCCTACTGGTGTTCTTACAAGTACTGAATTCTAAATTTTTTTTCTTGGATATTTAGTACACGTGGCAGCTAAAAAGGTCCAAAATGTACTTGTCTCTTGTTGACGACAGTTGTTTTGTTTGAAAGGTACATTTTTTAGCTTCTGGTCTAGGCTTCATTCATTTCCACATGACGACTTCTTTACAACTATATGTTTTAACCTGTTTCAGAAACTAATAGCAGCTTCTATTCAGTAGTTTATAATGCTAGACATTCATCTATCATCGTGAAGCATGTACTTTTCATTAACTTGATCTGAGTGTTATAATCGTTGTCATATTTTTACATTTTTTTTTTAAACGGTTATCATGAATGACATTAGAAGTGATGTCACGTGTCATTGTCAGACTTGAATGAAACTGTTGTGGTAAATCGTGTAAGAAAAAAATAAATGTACCTGTATTAGAAAGAAAGAAAACAGTTCAGCTCTGTTTATAAAAAAAAAAGTTTAGATCTGTTAGAAAAAAAATAGTTCTGCTGTGCTAAAACAAAGATACCTAACATATGAAATCAAAATCTGACTTGGTTATTAAAAAACAAAATATAATTTTTTTAGCTTGTGTTTAATTTTAAACCAAAACATGTCATGAATGTAATTATTTAGTCAGAAACACATCACTGATAATTGTCACTAAATTATATGTATAATTTCATCCTGAATATTCCTAGTGGTTTAGTTTGAGAAATAATGTAGGTTGTTCTCAAGACAAAATATTTTTAAATGTTATTTAAAAACAAAATGTTAACATCAATTTCATTGGCATCTGCGCAATCTGCACATGAAAATACATTGCTCACCTTTCTATTTCAATTGTAAATAGTTTTTTCTTCTAATGTTTTCAACAATAAAAAAAATGAAATGCAAACTATTGTCATCATCATTATCCAGATAAAAAAAATTGTTTGGTGTTTGGGAATACATTTTAAAATGTATCTTGCTCGAGATCTTGTCCTTAAAGAAACTGCAGTTGAATGATGTAATGTAAACAGAACCAAATTTTTAAAGCATTAATTTTGTATAAACCAAACAAACTTTTCACAAATTAAGCCTATGTAACTCTCCCTAATATGATTTGTTGCTCTCAAAGTTGTTCTGCTTCTCTCTTTCAACCATAGCAATAAAAAAAAATTATGTACTTTATATTCATGGTAATCAGAAGAAAAACTACTTCTGTTACTCTATATATTTAAAAAAATCTGTTTCCTCAAAAATTGTGGTCAGTTGTTTTTTTTTTTTAACTTAATTTTTTTAAAAATTTTTACAGGGTGAACAGAAAATAAAATAATTTAATTACCCATTTAAATCTGTCAGTGGTGTAGGCAGGGATTGTTAGCTCTAACTACACTTTCCCAGACAGTGAATCTCTAATACAAAAGTGTCTCACATTAATTAACAGCTTTTTATGTTTACAGTTTCTAAACAGTGAATATCATTGAAACATTAAAAATCATTGAAATCAAATCACTATGAACATATGTAGGCCTATTTATCTATGTATGTATGTATATAAATATATATATATATATATAGATAGATATATAGATAGATAGATAGATAGATAGATAGATAGATAGATAGATAGATAGATAGATAGATAGATAGATAGATAGATAGATAGATAGATAGATAGATAGATAGATAGATAGATAGATAGATAGATAGATATAGATATACATATATATATATATATATATATATATATATACACACACACACACATACATACATACATATGTATATATATACTTAAATATTTTTTGAATATAACCCTCTCCCTTGACAAATTCCTGCCTACACTATTTAAATAGATAAATGTCAGTATCATTGAAATGACAGACTATTTTGTAGTTGTAGACTGACTCGGGATAAGTTAAGAAAGCCTTTTTTTTTTTCTCTATCACTACCTGGAATTATTTTTTTAAAAATGTGTCACTCTATTAGGACTTTGTTACCTTGTCTTTTTTTATGTCATCACACCATTCTGTCTGCCCCATCTTTATATCCGCAGCACATCATCTTGTATGTTCATCACATATAATACCAGCCTATGTGTATCCCATAAGTTATGTTTTCTTAATATGGATTGTTTGATTACACGTGAGCATGCCATCATCACATTGGCAAAAAATTTGTTACAGTTTTAAATTTAGTCAATGAAATCTGTTGTTTTTTTTTTTTATCACAGTATGTCATGTTTAGGAAGACTGGTTTTTTTTTTTTACAAATTTTCTGACAGCACAGAAATCAAAGGTCTAAAAAAGTTATGGACTAGTTATTTTTCTTATAATGCATTATTTGGCTTCTTATATACTGGTTGTTTTTTTTTTCCTCCATACATTATGTCATGAAATGTTGAAATGCATCCAAAATATGAAATGATTTCTAAAATAAAGTTCTGAATTCAACAGTAAGTTTGTTATTGTTGTGTTTTCTTGTGATGAGTGTCATAATTAAGTTTTATTTTTAGAGTTATTTGTGTGTTGCAAATAAGGATATATATATATATATCTATAATATAAGCGGGCTGAGCGTGTCCTTCCTTCCGTCCGTCATCGCTATAGATTTTGGGACTATAAAAGTAAACTGCGCACCACGCTGTGCTTTTCAGTGCACCGCAGTGTCTTATTATAAGACTTAGAGTAGGGTTTGTTTATATAGCGGCATAGAGCTATTTTATAATTGCCACGGTTTTTACTCTTTCGCATAACGTCAAGAAAAATATTAAATACACGCAAACTGCTAAAACGTATTAAAAAGATTAATGTCAAATAGCATTTTAGTTTATATTCCTAGAAAAAATGGATACATTTCCATAAAAGTAGGTCGAAAAAGCTAATTAATTCCACTTTTTTTTGTGGTAATTGTTTCAAGGGAGGTAATTTGAAAATATATTTAACTCAACAATAATTTAAGTTAATCTTTTTTTTATTACTACCGCATTGATTAGTCTATGTTAAGGTTCATAATTAAAAGAGAAAAATGTTAAGATTATTTATATTATTTTCTAATTAGTCTATGATTTCTCAAAATCACTATTTTTTGTTTTTGTTTTTTGGTGCTAACAGATGGTGAAATTTTATAATTATAATATAGAGAATGGTGGAAAGACTCTCTCTGGGCGCGGACGCCTGGGAAAAGCGTGATTTTCGGTGGTAATTCTAATTACATTGCCAATGTGTTTTCTTAGAACCATAAAAGTAAACACCACTTGCCGTACATTCATTTGCATCGCATTGTTTTATTGTAAGTTATGGAGTAGGATCTATTTATGTGACTTAAATTTTTAATGTTGGAAAGGGTCTCTTTGGGCGCGGACGCCTAAAAAGCGTGTTGTTTGGTGGTGATTCTAATGTTGTGGTTGTGTTGTTTTTTTTTTTTTGGTTGTGTTGTGGTTGTGTTGTGGTTGTATTGTGGTTGTTTTTTGGTTGTGTTGTGGTTGTGTTGTGGCTGTGTTGTGGTTGTGTTTTTGTTGTGGTTGTGTTTTTGTTGTGGTTGTGTTGTAGTTGTGTTGTGTTGTGTTGTGGTTGTGTTGTGGTTGTGTTGTGGTTGTGTTGTGGTTGTGTTGTGTTTGTGGTTGTGTTTTTTGTGTTTGTGTTGTTTTTGTTTGTTTTGTTCTGTTCCAAAGTTGGTACATTTAAAAAAGATTGACCGTGGCGGAGCACGGGATGCAGCTAGTTATTATATAATAAGCGGGTTGTGTCTGTCCGTCCGTCATCGCTATAGATTTTGGGACTATAAAAGTAAACTACGCACCATGCTGTGCTTTTCAGTGCACCGCAGTGTCTTATTATAAGTAATTGAGTAGGGTTTGTTTATATAACGGCATAGAGCTATTTTATAATTTCCACTGTTTGTACAATTTTACATAACGTAAAGAGAATATTAAATACACGCACATTGCTAAAACATATTAAAAGGATCAATGTCAAATATCGTTTTCGTTAATATTCCCAGAATAATAACAGTACGGTAGAAAAATCTAATTAAACTGCTTAGTAATTTTGCCAATGGAGGTAATCCAAAGATAAATTGAACTCACGCTAAAAATGTGAATGCAAAATCTGCAAGACGGAATAATTGTTGGAATAATATAATTAGCATAATGTGAATGCAAATTATGCAGACGTGTAAGAGTACATTATTGTTGGAATATTATAATTAGCATTGATTGATAAAAGGCTATCTTTTATTTATTTTATTCACAGAATGTGCTGTTTACTAAGTATAATTTTTAATCAAATATTCTCCATTATTATATTAAGTCATCACGTTCATTAGGTGCGCAATGGTTTTAGTCATGAAACTTTATTGTAAATTTTAAAAAGTACTGAAAAAAATGCATGAATTTATAAAGTGCAATATGGTCGGTAAAACACGGATATTCTAAATACTGCCTTTAATTTATTTTATACACTGAACGTATTGTTTACTAATTATTATTCTATCTTTCAGTTTGCGGACAAGCTAGGGGTTTTATAGCAGAAGCGTAGTAAGGGGAACATATGACCCAGGGCGCCGACCTTAGGGGGCGCCAATGTGGGTTGGAAAAAAATTTGCGGGGGGGGGAAGGGTTTTTCGTTTGTGTTGTGTTTAGTTTTGTTCTGTTCCCAACTTGGTACATTTAAAAAAGATTTACCGTGTGTTGTGGTTGTGGTTGTGGTTGTGTTGTGGTTGTGTTGTGGTTGTGTTGTGGTTGTGGTTGTGTTGTGTTTGTATTGTGGTTGTGTTGTGGTTGTGGTTGTGCTGTGGTTGTGCTGTGGTTGTGTTGTGGTTGTGTTGTGGTTGTGGTTGTGTTTTGTTTGTGTTTGTGTTTGTATTGTGTTTTTGTTTGTTTTTTTCTGTTCCAAAGTTGGTACATTTTAAAAAGATTTACCGTGGCGGAGCACGGGATGCAGCTAGTATATATATATATATATATATATATATATATATATATATATATATATATATATATATATATATATATATATATATATATATATATATATATATAGTTACATAATATTAACAATTAGGACATTTTCTTTTATATTCAGTTTTATAATTTTTCCAATTAATTAGTACATTTTCTTATATTTTAATTTAGTTGTATAAAATTTCCAAGTAGGAAATATTTTTTTAGAGTTTTATACTTTACAATAAATATTTTTCAATGTGCATTACAAGACTATCAAATGCTTTTAAAAATATAGTTTTCCAGCTATGCTGACAAGATTTGTATACTATAAAGGAATCTTTGCCATGATGAGTAGCTACACCAGTGTGTAACTGTAAAGAGGATGCTTAGTGTTAAGAATGTTACTGTGTCCACCCAGCTCTGATGGGTAGTGACTTAAGTCTGGTAAAGTAAAAGTGGCTGGGCATAGTGCTGATCACATTATACTATCACAGATAGTGGTCTGAGAAACTGATGGTAAGTTCCCCTCTAAACCTAGCTATCCATTGGGCAGATGATTGAGGGTTCATATTTTTCTTGACCTCAGCATGTAAAGGGATAGTTTGGTCAGCACTATGCCGAGCCGCCTTCACTTTCTACAAGTAAGTCAGGTACCCATGTTTGCTGGGTTAACTCAGGGATGTCGGGGTCGTGATCTGCTTGAGACATTTTGGCTATCAGCCAAACGCCCTACCATTTGACCACTTTACCTGTCTGAAAGGGGATTTTTTTTACCATTTTGTCTTGGTAAAACATTAAAAAGTGGTTTGGCTATCACTTACCCTTGATATCATACTATGCTATATATGCTTATTAATAAAATATGGTGCACGCTATTAAAATTAAATACATTTTCAAAAAAATTATTAAAATAAGTTGTTTGGAGCTTTTCCTCTAAACAAAAAACAAGTCTTGTTTAATTTTTACAGACAAAAAATTTCGAGAAAAAAATATTCCTGGTTACCTCCCTTTGACTGCAAATTATTCAACGAATAGTTTTAAACACAAGTAAACGCTTCAACTTTTTTTTCAGCGGCATTGATTCGCTAATTTTTTTTAATACAAGATGTTTTTATTGCGTGTTGTTATTCTATTGAGTATTTGTAAATAAATTAAATGGCCCAATATATTAGGCACAGTATGTAGGCCTAAGTATTTACAACAGGAGCATTTAAAAAAAAAAACTTTTTGTACAGGATTTAGTTACCGGTATTCTAAAGTGTGAAATGAAATTTCCATACACACACAAGTGCGGTCTGACACGACCTCTCACCTCCAAACACTTCACTGGTCACCCTTTGATGTGTCCTTGTATTAAAGAAATAATTTTTCCAATGATGATTTTCAATTATTTAAAAAAAAAAAAAGCTGTTTAGAATTTTTTTTATGTTTTCTTTTAAATCACTTAAGCACTCCTCTTAAGCACTCCCCCCCCCCCAACTCCGTGTCGACGACGCCTCTTAACACTTGCTTAATACAAGTCTTCTGTACCCCCCCCCCCCCCCCCCCACACACACACACACACATACCCCTAAGTCCATTAGTCTAGCTCCCGGGATAAAACAAAAACAATTACTTTGAAGTTCTAGCCTGTCAATGCCTTCCACCGTCAGGCGTCCAATTCCAGCAGATAGCGGAGGCTGCCGATGAAGACCTGTGGTGCGAAACGTTTAGCTACAACTCTTCATGCTACAAAGAAAAAAGGTGCTGAACTGAGGATACACGTATAACTCTATTTTACAGCCATTTAGATTTACGGCCCCCTGGTATTCCTATCCAGAGTTGTTTTATCTTGGCTGTGAGCGAGAGAGAAAAAAATGTTTCTTTGACTTTAGAGGACTAATCAAGGCTAGAGGATAACTTTTTTTTTTAAGTTTGAAGAATTTATTGACTTCTAAGCCATTTTATCTGTTCGTTGTTTTAAACGTTCTTGTGGTTTCTTTTGAAGCCTGAACTCTACAAACATGACCCTCCGTATTAATTAATTACTGTAATTACTTTTCAGAAATCAAATATATAATTAAGTTTTTTTTTTATTTAAGACGCACCAACACACACAAAAAAACATACACACATATATTATAGTGTTACTTTAAAGCCAAATATTTTTTTTATTGGGTGTGCCTTCTTTTTTGGATCTTTTTAAATAAAAATAAAAATCTTTCAATAAAATATATGAGGTGAAAATGTTAACATTAAATGTCGTTAACGGCAAAAAGTCGAGATTTTGATGTTTTTTTTTTAATCATTTAAATCTATTTTTGGTACAGTTTTAAAACTGTTAACAATCTAAAAATTTTAATCTAATTATATAAATAATTTGATAAGTGTTTGACTCCGGTTTCAGCCTGCTTTTCTTTTTGGATTTGCTTCCATAGTCTTTGTCCAACCAAGAACAAACTACAAGGCAGCAGTTGTTTAATTTTGGAGTTGTCTCTCCTAGAAGAGCAGCTGTCCCCAGCTAATGAGCC